TGTATTTCTTAGTTAATTTATCATTTAAAATTTAAACATTAACTGTGGGATTGATATTTGGGACTTAAACAAAAAGTCTTATGTTACATGATAATGATACGTATACTTGCGTAGAATCACAATCTTAAGTGCTTAAAGTTATTATTAATAAAATACCACATCAAGTTTTTGGCACCGTTGTAAAGCAAAATCTACTTTATAAATTTTACACAACTATATTTAATCAGGATCAAACCCTCGTGCTTCTCCAACTTGATTATCCCAACATAAATTTCTACTTAAGTGGTTGTCTAGCACGTTTAGGGTGTTAGAAGGCTCCCCGACCCAGACGGGGAGTGAGTCATTTTGTTTGGAGTGTTTCTAGCTTTGTAACAGAACCTCCCTTCATTCTTATTTTATCAGGCATACTCTCCACTTTGACATCCCACCACTTGGAGCTTCAGTCGATAGTCGTAGGATGGATTTTCGTTCATCTGACCTTAAGGCTATCAAAGTACCTTATGGACGATGCAATTCATGGATTGCTGACCGAGGATCTCTGGACATGTTGGGTCGACTACCTTCTAAACGAGGTAGACTTAAGATCTTAGTAGCTTGGGATGATGGGTCTTGGTACACTGACTCGGCTACCTCTACCTCTTAGGAATTACTCCTCCCTTCCTTTGACTGCCCCTGTTGAGCCCATTTGCTCCTTTTGCCTTTGTTGGCATCATCTCTACCACCCGATGGCTGATTAGCTATCGCCCATTTGGGATATGATAATTTGTCCTTGACCTTTATGGCACAGATGTGCTTTGACGTATCGAGATTTTTCATCGGAATGATTCAATTTTTTTTGCAGGCTCCATATGCTCATGAGTCTGTTACCCTGTAGAGGCAGTACGAGACTCACTCTCCGCCCCATGACATGGCGAGAGCTTTAAAAGCTTCTGAGCATCCCCGTGTGAGATAACAATTCATTGACAGCCATGTGCTAATCGTCATTACTATATAAGCAAAACTACTTTGAATCAAGAGTATTCTTGGGCGACCCCCAAGATGGAATTAACCAAGTGAGACATGTTTCCTTGTGAGTACTCTAGACCCCAGAATATACATATACACCTGAATCTTTAATTATGGGTAGTCTACGTATGTATTATTTTGCGAATATTGGTCTAATGTGCTTTTGCCAGATCTTGTTTGGGCTGACATTCTTGGTCTATCCTTGTAAGGTTTATTGTGTGTAGGCTCTCCACGTTCTTTCAGTTATTTTTCGTCTTTCTCGTATGTCCCTTCTTTTCCGGTTCATCCCTTCTCCTGATCATTCATATGATCTGAAATAGCTATTAATTAGAACAAAGGAAAGTAAATGACGATAGACAAACTAACAACTCCTTTAAAAATTAAAAAGACAAAAAAAGAAAGAAAACAATTATTTTTAAATAGAATAGTTATGTGAGGTTTATCTTATCCATCATAAGAAATATTGTGGTTGCATTTTTATGATTGCAAGAACATTTGATATAGTCTACTCTATCATTAACGAGAGTGTTTTTTAAGATAAGGAATAAAGTTAATGGAATCCTAAGAAAAAAAGTATTCAGATAAGCTTATAGGTTGGTCTAGTGTCAACCCATGTTAGAATATTTGTATCAATTGTGCTTTAGCATAAATTTTTTTATAATTATAAATTTATTTTTTTACATTGCATTGTTTATTATTGATACATGATTATTGAATTCAACTTTTTTTTTATTCCATCTATTGAATGTATTTTTTGTAGTTATGCTTACTAACTTGTTATTGCACTTGCTTCGTAAATCATTTTACATCATCATGTTTTCTTGTGTGGACATTTTTTATGCTACTTTATTAGTTAACTTATTTATGATAACATAGATTATATGCTTGATTTGATCTAAAATATTAATACACACTCACTTTGTTTACATTTTACACGTATATTATTAGACAATTATAAATATGTTTATACTTATAAGTTGACTTGTGCATCACTAGATTTTATGCTAATTAAGTGATACCTTCATTTAAGTGCTTAGTAAAGATTCACTCACATTTAACATACATCCACTCACACAATACTTACACTTATATGGTATCAAGTTATAAATTGCTTTATTTGAATGAAATTTATTTTGCTAGTTTAGTTGAGTTTTATTTCTTCGACATTGTGTTTAATGTAGATTAACTCACTTCTTATTGGAATACACATCTTGTATATATCATCACCTAAACTTATATACTTGTGTGATTGTGCGCTTGATTATTTTATTATTTAGTTTTACATGTTAATTACAAGGATTTGAGTGAGTTGATTGGACTTCATAAAAAAATTATAAAGTAGCATTGCACATTTAATTTACTTCTATATTGGTATGCTTTTAAGCTAAAATGTTCCTAGAGTGGATGATGTTCCTTCACTCCTTCATGCTCTATTTGTTGTTTATATTAGTTGATTATGGTGTGTCATGATTAACAATTTTGTCCAAGTCAATTTTATTAGTTTTAAGGATTGCTTGAAGCCTAACATCATCAATAGTTTTGATTGTGTCTGCTACCAACATTTCATTTAGGATTAACATTATCTATGAGCAAAACAACTACAAATTCCCTTTATGACTTGCTCCAAGTTGCACGTTTAACAACATATAAACTTTAATTTAATGATGGTGAATAATTACATTACAACTAAAGTTTGAATCCATGATTTACCACTGTTAATCTCCATAATCATGGTTCACATTCCCTTGCAACAATTCAATCATGGGATACTTCTAAAATTCTAGATTGTCTTAGGGCCACTACCATTTTATGCATCTCCCATAATTTCTACAACAAAAGTGAAACTATCATAAGATCATTAAATTGATTTATTTATCAATAGCATTTTATGTGCTAAAACTTCTTTAAGCTTCTAGGTGTACTAAGGTTGTCTTTGGTTTTGAGGAATTGAGGGACAATAAAATATTATTTGCTCTATAATTATATTTTCATTTTCTTAGTGAGGTGCAATCAGTAGGAAATTGATTTTATCATATAAATTACAACATATGAAAATTTCAAGCTAAGATTCTTAAACCAAAAGAAAAAGAGGAAAAAATTGGTGTGTAAACTTTTTAAGATTGTGTTCATTCTACAATTTCTTAGCTATTTGATAATTGAAAATGAAAAAATAAATAAAACCTTTTCACAAAATTTCTTCACAATCAATTTAGTTGTTTTCAACTCAAAATTTTCATCTCAAACAAACAAGAAGATTCAACCCAAAAGAATTCATAATATTATAAGATTTTTATTACCATCAAGATTATAAAATAATGGTGTTAAATCACAACTTAAATATTCTGGGAAATTTACTTAGGGTCTGTTTGTGGCAGCTGCAGCTTATCAAAAAGCTCCTACTTATCAAAAAGCTGCTGCATAGTCGCTACCTCAGGAAGCTGCTGCGCAGAAGCTGTTGAGGATAAGTGGGTTAACTGTTTGTTTTTTGCAGTTTGAAAATAATTGTGCGACAGCTTTTTCCGGACAAATAACCATTTTGCCCCTGTGTAGTAATGTTGTTATTTATTTCTCGATTCTTGCAGTTGGAAAGTCCTAAATGAACCTCAAGGCATCCACATACACGCCACATAATTTTTATATATGCACATATGTAGTACATGAACTTTGATATTTATACACATGCCATTGAAATCAATAACATCATAGTAAAAATATCACAATTGCATGATTCTTATATATACCTAACCAAGTCCAACAAAGGTTTAGGAAAACCTCTAAGGTTCAAAATAAAAGCATTTGTTTGGGATGTTGTGTATGTAATTAACCCTTAAAAAAAATAAATTTTGCATAAGATGGTCAAAACAAACATTCATTTGTTTCTTCTCATTAAAGACAATGGAACTAGTAAATTCAATAGCTAACAAACCAGATATATATATATATATACATACATATATATATAATATATATTAAATCCAAGAGCAAGCATCATTGTAGATCTATTTGCTCAAAGAATTTCTCATATGAATATGAAATCCAACAAATAAAAATAACAAAATTGATGTAGAAAGTAAGATGTGAGCTTTAAGGTCGCTTAAAAATCAAAAAGTTCGGAAGCACCTTGGGGGAGCTGGCGGAAAGATACGTTGGAGTCGTTGCAGGCTTTCTCATAGAGGCGGAGAGGGCGATGCAAGAAGGGAGACGGGGAATATCGTGGGGAGTGAGACACACCGGCAGGCGGTATAGCATGAACCGAGACCGCAAACGGGCAAACGGGGCTAAACACTAGGGTCTGTTTGAGTAGGGAGAATCTGCCGCTAGAATGGGGATGGAGAAGTCATTGTGGTTGCGAGAGAAGAGAGAGAAGAGTCACGATAGAGGACTAGGGTGTGAGGGGTGAGAGTGGGTAGCATAGTAAAAAAATGGAGCGGAAACACGTCGCCAAAACGTGACAACCAAACAGCTTGGTGCCGCGCCGCACAAGAAACGCGGCCCCAAACGAAGCCTTAGTTGCCACACAATTTCAATTTTTATGTATTTATATATCAAACCCCAAAGTTTGATATTTACATTTATCACACCTTAGTGTCATAATTCTATGCATGATAATATGTATTTCACTTTTAAAAAGATAATGATTTTGTTATTTTTAATATGATGTCGAAGATTTGAGTGGTATGTATGTAAATATGAATGTTTTGGCATTAGATTGTAAATAAATAAGCATGATTTTGTATGCACCTAAATGCTCAAATAGTTTAAATTGCTCAACAAAGTTGACGTCAGAAGGTCGGCATTTATATTCATTTTTTCCTTTTCTTTCTTAAACATGCTGGTAGTTTGCTTCAGCAAAGTAGTACAAATCTAATATTACCATACCTAAATTACTAAAATGCCCTCGTCTTTTAACCAAATGACCAAAGAGGCCCATCCAACTTCAAATTTAAAATGGAATTTGAAGCTGTATCTCCCGCGCCTATAAATGAAGCTGCGGATGGGACTCTCCTCTTCCAAATTTTTGCGGTTCTTCAGATTGGCGATGCGGAGACCACGAGATCATCAGGGGGAACCAATGCTCCCGTTCAAGCGGAAGGCAAGTGCGGAAGAACAGTCGATTCAGCAGTCGAGAAAGAAGGAAAGATCGCTCTCCTCCTGTACCTCTCCTCGTCTCTCGTTCCTTACTCGGCATACTGAATTCACATGGTCTCTCTCTCTCACTCTCTCTTGTTGTGGATTTGTATCATGTTTTAAATTTTTTGTTCCAATGCTTAGTTGGATTTAGCTATTAGCTATGGATTTCATTGTTTATCGATCGCGATTTTGACTTGGTTAGCTTCTGCTTATCTTTGATCGGCTTATATATCGGATTTTCTGATCTGAGATTCTCTTTTAGTCTGACCTGAAATTTGTTTTGAAATGGAATTAGTTTTTAGCTTTATTTCGCGCTGGAAATGAAGCAGAAGGTTCCGATGTAGAAGTAGCGAGATTTCGCATAATTTAAATAATGACTTGGTTAAAGTGGATTGGGAAGTTTATACTTTAAAATATGAAAGAATTCTTCTGGATATGTTTCGCCTTTCTGAATTTATGGAGATATCAGTCTATTTAAATAAAGGAGAGCAGTCAATGCTAGTTTTTCGTACTCTGTTTACGATCTGCAAATTATGGCGGAATTGAAGGTGAACTACGTTTCAGACAATTAATTATGTAGAATTCTGCATCTAATCAATCACTCTCATCTCTGTAGAGTAGTATAGCATAAGAGAAATTTCACTTCTAGATTTTTTTTTGCTTGCTTAAATGCTACATTCCATGAGCTATAGCCTTATGTATCTGTTACTTTTGTTCGGGTCATAGCATTAGTTTCTGACTCAACAACATTGAAATCATCGCGATCCGCGTCACGCCAGATCAAAACTACATAGTTCAAATTTAATAAATAAAAGAAGTGAATAATTTACTTGGAATTACTTTTTAAGCGATGGGTTTATTTTGGGATTAATGCAGTATAGATGCATTCATTTAAAAATTTGGGATAATTACACAATGACCACCGGAATTTATATTAGACTCATCTCAAAATAGATTCAACAATTTTGAGATCGATCATTATTTAATTTTTATCTAGATATCTTGATTTAATTCATCCATGCCAGCACAAGAGGTTTGCATTTTTGTTTGCTTTTGGGACAGTAAGGTTGCAAGCATTTTTAGTGTAAAATAAATCAAATAAAGGGTTTTATGTCTTTTTATATTTACTTTGAGAATAGTAAATGCAATGTGAGGAAAGGAAGAACCGAAGGGATATAGTGCAGCAAACATTCATCAAAAGCAAAGAGATGTATACATATCTGTATATATATGAAGCAAAATAGTACAAGGAAAATGGTAAATGCAGTAGGCAATTCCTCTATATGCACCCGCAGGTGACAGATAGTGTTGAGTCAAACCATGTGGAATGGAGAATCAGAAATACTCAGTATGCGGTTATTACTCCCCTGCAAGCTGATGTTCACTCTGGTGAACCATTAGATTGGTTCAAAATGATATGGATCTATGCTTTGGGAGAGGTTTGGTGGGAATATCTGCCGGTTGGTCAATGTGTTTCCGGATGAAGTGTTAGTCGATTTCTATATGTTTTGTAAGTTCATGAAGCACGAGATTGTTAGCAATCAACATGGACGATATATTGTCGCAGTAGATTGGAGTAGGTTTGTTAATATTCACACCTAATTCAGTTATGAGACGTCTTAACCACAAGACATTTGTCATGGCCGTAGCAAGAGCATGATATTCCGCTTCCGTGGGGGATCAAGCTACCGTGTTTTGTCTCTTGACAATCAAAGATATTGGAGCATTACCTAGATAAGTGCAGAAACTCGTTGTAGACTTTTTGGTTTGGGGACCACTTGCCCAATCAACATCAACGTATGCATGAAGTTGTAGCTCACCCATGAAAAGTAGCAAGCCGAAATGTTTTGTGCCTTTGAGTTATTGCAGTAGACGAGTTAAAAGTTGAAAAAGGTGATCCAACAGTAAGTACATATGTTGGCATAGCTTCTTTACTGCGAATAGGATGCCTGATCTGGTGATGGTAAAGTCTTAGAGAGAGATCACTTTAACTGTCAATAGAGCGTAAGATTGTGAAAGGGTTTGCTATTTTCGGCAGAAGCTGATATCTTGAGAGGAAGAGGGTTGCTTAACAATGAGCAATGCAATCATCCATTCTGACATTGTGTAGAACTTGAGAAAGATATTTGGTTTGGGCGAGAAACCAAGAGTTGGGTGACCTGTGAGATTTCCCAGGAAATAGAAGATGGGACCCGTATGTTTGAGCTGGAACTTGGAGTAGAGTGTGTTAACTAGTTGAAATATGGTGGTAGGACTATTCCGGGTAATCAACATGTCATCTAAGTAGATGAGAAGAAAGAGATTTGTAATACCGTGATTGTATAGAAGCAATGAGAGATCGACTTTGCTTGTTGTGAAGTCATAATCCTAATTGAACTTGGATAGCAAAATGAACCACTGTCTTGGTGCTTCTTTTAGATCGTAAAGAGCTTTTTGAAGGAGGCACACATGTCTTGGTAGTTGCGGATCAATGATTCCCGAAGGTTGATGCATGTATATAGTATCGGTGAGCGTGCCTTGTAGGAACGCTTTAGAGACATCAAATTTGGGTACCTCTCATTAATGATGCAAGGCAAGTGTGAGAAGAATGTAGATCGTTGCTATCTTTGCGACCGGACTGAATGTTTCATTATAGTTGATACGAAGCTCTTGGGTGTAGAGCAACCAATCTTGCCTTATGGTGGGTTTCCGTACCATCTGGATTAAGTTTAGTGGTGCATGTCCAGCGGAATCCAAGGATCTTAATATCGGTTGGAGGAGGAAGGAGTGTCCAGGTACCTTGTTCTTAAAGCTCAAGAAACTCCTCAACCATTGCATGACGCCAATGGGCAAGTTTGACTGCTTGAGTGTAGCAACTGGGGTTCGGTGTAGTTTAAAGTTTGTGTGATGTATTTAGTTTTTGGATGGATTTGAGGTGGTCGGTTTACATACAGTTGATCATATGGTGAGGTTTTAGTAGAGGTGATATGGTGGGAGGAGAAGTGAAGGTGGGATTTGGAGGTGGGATTTTGGGAGAGTTGACTTGAGGTATTTGAGGTGTATTGCGATTTGGAATTCTCTACCTAGTTATTTTCAATTGACTTAAAACTCTTTTGATATTAATTTTATATCTTCTTAGGTATTTAAAATTTTCTACCTAGTTATTTTCAATTTATTTAAATTTCATTCGATATGAGTGAATTTCAAGTACAATAAAAGTGTGAGGCTTACCTGCTATTGCCTGCCACTGCCCTTTATTACAGTAAGAATTTCAAATAGTATGCAAGCTATTAAACATGAAAAACTCCAAAAATTTCTTGCAATCAAACAAACACAAAAAAACTATTACATACACAGGACTTTAATATTTTACAACAAAATTTCAAATACTTAAAATAAAGAATCCTTTTATCAAATTCAAAATTGAAGAAACTAATGCTAGCACAATAGTAGCACAAGTGATATCACTGATGCTCCACTTTAAAATTGGATTCAGGTGTATTACATCAAGTCCTATCTCTAAACTTTAATAAATTATTACATATAGATA